TTTACCTATTCTATGTTTTTAATTGTATTTGTCAGTCATTCTAATTGCTTGTGAAACTTTTTTGTTAGTATATCTATCAACATTCAGAGTTAATATATTAAAATTTCCCCACTATGAGATTTTTTTTTGCTTTTTCTTTTCATTTTTAATTTTTACATTTTAGGATATTTTTGTAAAAGCATATAATTATGATTATTTCTTCAGGTACTATCCCTCTGTATATATTATCAGACTTTTCCCTCATATTAATTCAAGCTTCTTTTAGTTAGTATTTCCATGAATTTTTTTTCCATTTTTACATCAGACTTTCAATTGACTTTTATTTTATCCATATTTCTCAATAATAGCATTTGATAATTATTTGCACTTTATCTGATAGTTAACTACTGAATTTAGACCATTTAGATATATTGTGATTAAACAAGTTCTACCATAATCTTTCTTGATTTCTATTGTTCCCTTTTTTATTTCCTTTCTTTTCTATTATAGAGTTGACGTAGTTTTTTTCCTCTAATTTTATTTTTCCCTGAAAACATGTAATTTACTCTTTTTTCTTTGTTTTTAAATTATAACCCTTAAAATTTTACCATGCTCATTTATTATGCAATGATCTCTGAAGTTAACATCTTAACCCAATTCATGAACAACATGAGAACCTTTGAACTATATTAGCTTTTATAAAAGGAGGGATGACAAGTCAAACATGAATAGAACCAAAGTCCTAAAACAGTCCGTCAAGGCAAAACATAATTTATTCTCTGTGGAATGTTATGTGAATCTCCCCCAAGAATTTATCCCCCCTTGTCCCCATTCTATTTAGTACATATAATTGTTTCTTTGTGTGTCTTTCAGGTTATACCCGACATAGGACTCAGCATATAGAAACATACATTAAGTCTAATGAACTAATTTTTAAGGTACACAATATTATGTTCCTTTGTATTTATGACTTTTCATTTTCTCATATTTCATAATTATAACCAGCTTTATTTAACTTTACTCAGTACAACTGCCAATAAAAGAGAAAATCTTGAGAAGTTTCAAAGGACAATTTTTATATTTTCTCTCTCTCTCTCCTCTCTCTCTCTCTCTCTCTCTCTCTCCCCCCTTCTGATATTAACTAGTCTTTGGGTCTTTTACCCTAATTCATTCATTCAAATAGCCCTTGTATAATGAGTTCATCTTGAGAAAAACAGGACTATTGTATCAAAGTAATTAAATCATAAGAACTTCCATGTGCTTCTGAAGCAAAAGAGGGAAGGTGGACTGAATATGGCTGAGCCAGATGAGCTGTGGTTATTCTCATGTTTATTCAGATTATTTTGAAAAAAAATGACAAACTGTATAATTTCTTAAACATCTCAAACTATTTTCTCAAAATGTTATTTAAATGTGAAAGTATCCCAGTGTTTCCATGTTCAAAGACTTTCCTAGATTCCTTAGGTCAGGAATCATGAGCTACAGAACTCTGCCCAAACAGGCTGCCAGAAGAGCAATTAGTATTCACTTGGTAAATCTGTGATCATTGTATCCAGGAGCAAATGATCACAGCAGGAGATGAAGAAATAAAGATACAAAAGAATAACTGAATGCAATGGTCTGTCATTTTTAGTTAGGCTATTTTTTATTTCCTCACTATTATAATTTTTAAAGTTTTATTATTTAAATTTACCTAAAATTACATAAAATATCTTCTTGTTTTTAAAAGAACATGCATCTTTTTCTTGCTTGGTTGGTTGTTCTTAGTTCAAACGTGCAGAACTGGTCCACAAGACACCTACAAAAGTATAAGCCAATAAATATTATTTTTTAGATACTAGAAATGGAATGGATTATACAACTATATTTTGAAGGAAAAAAAAAACATCAGGAATGGAGAAACAAGGATAGCTGGGAACAAAGAAACAGTGTTACAAAGGACCATCATCTCATCTGATCTATGAACTCAAGTCCAGGTAAAATTACACACAAGTCATTTCACACTATTGACAGCGCATCTTGCTTTAAGCCAAGCAAAAGAAGCTCCACATCATCGTTCCTAACAGATCTTAGTTTTAACAAAAATGCCACTAGGAATAACTTCCTAGTATCAAATCAAAACTCCTCATTATGATAAAAGCTAAACTTGACCAGTGCAATGATCAGTGCTTTATACTGATTATTTTATTTAGTTCTCCTCATCGTATGATCTAAGAAGAGAAAACTAAGACTTTGGGGATCTAAGGAATTGGCAGAACTAGGATCTGACCGTAGGAGATTTAGAGTTTACCATTATTATACTCTTTGTTTCTCTGTGCTGTAATATAAATTATTTTCTTCACAGGAAATTGTTAGTATATTTAAATGACAACATTCTTCTACTTCCACATACTCTTAATTCAATAAACATTCATAAATCTTAATATTATCTTTCAGAGCTAATTCCTATTTCCAAAAGGGAGTAAGAGAAGAATAAATCATAGCCCTGCTTCTTACTTACTCTAATACTGGCCCACCCTTCATAAAGAGTTAGAATATCCCTCTTTGCATATAATAAAACATGTCTGAAATTAATATATCAAAAATGCCATCTTTGTCATCTCCACAACCAACATGAGTCTAGTTTACCCACTCTTGCTTCTTAGAGCAACTGTCATCTCAAATTACCTTACTCAGTTTTGGGAAATGGATGGCCCAAATATCTGGTCATGGTAGTGGCATGTATTTCCCTAAAATACTTTTGTATCCAAGCTTGATTCCTGCACAAAACCAGATATCCATTAAACTAAAAAACTGGAACAAGCCACACTTGACCTCATAATATGTCTTTTACTTTCACATCACTTGTCTCCATTTGTTGTAAAAATATTATCAAGAACATTGCTCATTTTGTCTCTTATGAAAACATGTGCATGATAAATTTCCTTCTAATCTCAGGGCCAGATTAAAAACATAAATACACTTGACAAACTTCCCATTATTGGATACTGGATATTGACAGATTTATTACACTCCAGTTTCTAGAATAAATCTTTTATTTAATTCTCATCATCTTATGACCTAAGAAGAGAAAACCAAGGCTTTGGGGGTCTAAGGAATTGGAAGAACTAGAATCTGACCCTAAGAAATTTAGTTTTTTTTTTACCTTTATTATACTCTTTGTTTCTCTGTGTTGTAACATAAATAATTTTGAGTTTGGTTTCCTTATCCTTCTACCACCATTTTTACTTTATTTTAAATAGTTTTATATTTGTTAAGTAATTTTCATGCCACCCAATTGACTGACAGTCCCTGCAAACCCTATCTGGTGAGGCACTAAATTGACCATTCATTGTGATGATGGGTCTTGAGCAGCTGTTTAGCATCTCCGGATCATCTTGCTGTACCCATGCCAGCCTTACTCAATAGCTTACATTACTCATCTGGTATAGCAAGCTCTGCTAAATTACTAAGGCAAAAGACTCGTGCCCTGATGTACTTTCCAAATCCTGTCACTTACTGGTCTTGGCTGATGTCCTTTGCTGGTAATGGCCCCATTTCTTTTTGTCTTTTGCCATGAAAAACCTTTGGGGGATTGTCTGTATTCAGTGTCACCAATTCCTCACCAGTCATTCTCTTAATTACACTTATTGCTCCACTAATGACTACTCCTTTCTAGGTGCCAATGACTTCCTAGATATTAAATATAAAGGACAGTCCTTAAGCTTCATCTTTCTTCAGAGGCATTCATCACAGATCCGTAACCCCCTTCCTAAGTACTCAGTCCTCCCTTGCTTCCCACAGACGCCTGACCTACCCACTCAGTGCTCCTTCTGTCTCCTTGGTTACTCCTCTTCTTCCACGAGTAACGGCAGATTCTCCCAGCAACTAGTTCTTGGCCCCTCTTCCATCTTCACTTCCTCTTTTGGCAACTGCATTCAGGTTCAAGACTTGAAATGTCATATTTAAAGACTCTTTCCTTGACAGAGCCATTGGTCATAAACTACTCTACGTATTTCAACTGAGGACAAACCTGTGCTTAAATTTCCTCAAGCTTAAAACCCTTAGTCATTTCTGTGTCCTCTCTCTTATTGTACATTCAATCTTTTAAATACTATTGGCTTTAACTTCAAAATTCATCACCTCTCACACCTCTGTAGACTCCACCTGGATTTAAGCCACCATCATCTCTCACTTGGATTAGAACAACTCTTAACTTGTTTGCTCTGTTCTTTTTTGACTACAGAGTATTTTCAATAAAGCAAGTAGATGGATGCCTTTAACAGATCAATAAAATGACATTACACTTCTGAAAAGCTTCCAGAGGCTCCCAGTTCTAATAGAGAAATAGCCCAGTTCCTTGCAATGGTGTACCATCACCTCTCTATTCTCATCACCTTGCTTACTTCACACTGGACTCTTTGCTATTTCTCTAGCACTCCAGGTATGTGCCTACCTCAGGGCCTTTGCGCAAGTTCTTCTCTCTGCTTAGAATGGATTGATCCCTGTTTCTTTTAAGTTCTTTCCCAATCCCTCCTTTTTAATACAGGTTATTCTGACCACTCTATTTAAAAGTATAAGGTTCTCCTTACTCCTAACCCTGTGCCTTTTCCTTTCTTCTTTCTTTGATCTACTTTAATTTTTTTTTCATGTAACTAAACACTTTCTAGTTTACTCTATAGTTGACTTATTTTGTTTCTTGTCTGCTGTCCATCTTGCCTGGCTTATACTTGGAATTCAATAAATATCTACTCAATGGACATGGGAAGACTGTCAACATGAATCCGTGTTCTTAGAGATGACCGAATTCATTCTAGCTAAATGTGAATATAATTATTAACATCCCCTTTTATTTTTGTTACAACTGAACAAACAGAGATCATAGAAGATGACTTATTAATAATTGCTAGAGCCACATGGTAAAATTTTCCAGTTAAAAGAGCAGCTACTGGAATGACCTGCCCTGTGGTCAGAAAGCAGCCAAATGAGGAAGCTGCTGCCACTAACCAAGCCCAAGAAAAACCAAATCCTTTTTTCTGCTCTTCTTGCCCAAGTATTCCAAAAATATTCTAAATTTTAATTCATGACTTGTCCTGAACATGTCCCTGAGGCCAAAACCTAGGTCACAGCAGTCTCAGCTGAAGGGTGATCTGATAGATGTAGCCTTTATCTTTCTTGGCAAACATGTTCCAAAGTTGATTGCATTCTCAAATAAGAATGTAACATATCAACCCCTTTGTTCATATTAGTTAAAACATTTTGGGTGTGTTCTTTGTCTTTTTGACCTTCTATTTCTAAGATTTAAATTATTATATGTTCATATCTGATATTCTCTTTTGTATTGCTTATTATATCACTAATTTTTATATCTATTACATTTTCTGAACATAATTTCTCTTACAGATGCCACTTTAAAATATTTTGACCTATTTAGAATGCATTTGGGAGCTGGTAATACTCCAACCTTTTTTACTCTATTTCTATTCTAATCCCTTCTACTATTTCTATTGGGCCAATATTGCTGCTTTCATAGGTCTAGAATTTTGTGTATGAGTTTCTTCATTTAGTTAAAAATATCATGTATCTTAGTTGCCAGTTGCCATGGTAGGTGAAAGGATGAGAAGATAAAATATTCTATCACTATACTTCACTAATGCTAATAGTTTCTAAGCAAGCAAAGTACTTTCAGAAGGTGGAGCAGAGTTTCAGAGGAAGTAAATACGCTGCAATGATATTTCAGGGGAAAAGTCTTTGAAATCGTAACCTTTATGTTCATGACCAAGAGATAAGAAGACAGACATGATGAAGCAGCCAGGCAGAGGACAGCCTGTTCTGAACACCATAGGAGGAAAAGGCTGGGCTGAAATTCCTTATAACAAGAGCATCAGGAAGGAGACAGGGAGCATCTAGAGATCAGATCAGGAAAATGAACAGCATCCAAATACATCACAGAAATGTTGCATCTTATTCTACCTGCAATAACAAGATAGGTAAAGGTGTCCTTTGGCCATTATTCAGAAATTTAATTCTAAAAGGGCGTGGTGGGAAGTAGAGAATCTGGTTAGAAACTGTGGCCTTATTCACTACACACACTTTGATGGTTTAGAGAGGCCATGCAACTAATTCTAGTCACAGTTATGAGAAGATAAGGCCTTTGTGAATCCCAGACTGAAGCATTTATTTACCATTATGAGATGACTCAGGGTTCTTTTCCCCCCTCCACCACAATAACTGATGATGCTTAAAATAATGACTACCCCATGCCCCCATAACCCCAAGTCAAAAGAGATATGTCTCAGTCTATTCATGAAGGAAAAGAAGCATGTTCCCCAAAAGGATTGTCACAGATCACCAAGCCACTGGGGCATTAGTATGACATAAGGTAAGCTTTCTTGGAAGATACAGAATCCATTCTTCTAGGCTGGTTGAGAGTTCACTGCCGCTTGAACAAGATGTTGGCAGTGAAGTTGGGAGAACTTGATAGAGTTGCAGAGAAAATTTGATAGAATCAGCATATGCTTCAGCTGGCAGGTGTTGCTTAAGACTTAAATGTGATACTAATCAGCTCTAAAAAAAAAACGAAAAAGAAACTAAAGGGGGTCATGGGAAGAATTAAGGATTGGGCAAAGGGGAGGGAGAGATAGGGAGAGGGGGAATGGGGGCAGGAAAGATGGTGGAATGAGATGGACATCATTACCCTAGGTACATGTATGACTGCACATATGGTAAGACACTACATGGTGAACAACCAGAGAAATGAAGAGTTTTGCTACAATTGTGTACAATGAATCAAACTGCATTCTGCTGTCATATATACCTAATTAAAATAAGTAAATTAATTAATAATAATAATAAAGGAAACAAGTTTAGTCATTTGCAACAACATGAATGAACATACTATGTTAAATAAAAGAAGCCAGACACTCAACACAAATACCATGTGAATCAGTTCATGTGGAATCTAAAAAAGCTGAACTCATAAAATTAGAGAGTAGAATGGGGATGCTGGTAAGAGATTGGGGTAGTTAGAGTGGAGAAGCCAGTAGGGGTGGATATTGATCAGAGCATATGTAGGTAGGAGGATTGATCTATGTAGCACAGTGACTGTAGTTAATGACCTTTGCTAAGAGAGTGGATGCTAAATTTGTCACCACAAAAAATGATAACTATCTGTGGAAATATATTTTATTCAGCTTCTTTGCTGCTATGACTAAAAGACCTGATAAGAACAATTTTAGAGAAGCAAAAATTTATATGAGGGCTCACGATTTCAGTGTTGTCGGTCTATACAAGGCTGGCTCCTTTTCCTCAGCTCTTTCTTCAGAGCTGCAGGGGAGGCAGAACATCATGGCAGAAAAGTGTGTAGAGGCAAGTGGCTCATGTGATAATCAGGAAGCAGACACACAGAGACTCCACTTGCCAGATACAAAATGTATGCCTGGCAAAGCTCACCCCTAATGACCCACCTCTTCCAGCCACACCTACCCACCTTCAGTTACCACTAGTTAATTCCCATCAGGGGATGAATTCACTGATTTGGTTAAGGCTATCCTAACCTAATCACGTCTCCTGTAAACCTTCCTGCATTGTCTCACACATGAGCTTCTGGGGGACATCTCACATCCAAATCATAACGAAATATAAATAGCTAATTAGCTAGATTTAATCATTCCATCATGTAGATAAGCATCAAAACATTATGTTCAGCATGATAGCCATACAATTTTATATGTCAATTTTTAAAAAACTAAATTTGAAAAAAATATTTAAATGTGGGAAGTGAGAAAAAAGGAAACGTCCAAAGCAAAAAATCTCAAGCTTTGGGATTAAATAAATGTAGACATTTACTAAGACAGGAAACATTAGATTTAAACCAGGTATAAGGGTGGATGAAGTAAGTCAAAGATTCTATTTTGGACAAGATTCTATTTCAAATCTTGAAACTCCCACATGGACCTGTTAAATAAGCACCTGAATTTATCAATTTGAACCTCAAAATCAGAAATGATAGTTGTATTTATAAAATTTTGGAGATGTCAAAAGAGTGATAATCAAAGAGGAATGAATGAGATCATCCCCAAAAGAGGCTAGGAAGATTCCCAGAGACAAGACTCTGGGGACCCCAGCATTGAGCATTTGGTAGAAGAGGAGATTTTTGCCAAAGAGATTATAAAGGAAATACTCATAACGAGAAAATAAATACTAAGAACTTTTTTTGGTCCCTGAAGACAAGAGAGAAGATTTTCAACAAGAAAAGGAATAATCAATTGTGGTGAGTAATGATGAAGTCAGTAAAGAAAAGGACTAAGTTCATTGGGCAATTCACACTTAACCTTGACCAAGACACTTTTCATGCAGTGGTGGGTGTGGAAGCCAGACTGGAGTGGGTGAAGAGTTAGTGGGATGTAGAGAAACCTAGAGGCA